TTTTTTTTTTTTAATTTTTTTTTAATCCTCACCTGAGGACATTTTTCCATTTTTTGTACAGATAGAGTGGGAGGGAGAGAGAGGAAGAGAGAGAGAGAGGGAAACATCGATGTGAAAGGGACACATCGAGTGGCTGCCACCCACACGACCAACCAGGACCGGGGACAAACTGCAACCGAGGTACATGACCTTAGCGGGAACTGAACCCGGGTCTCTCCGGACCGCAGGCGGACGTTCTAACCGCTGAGCCAAACCGGCCAGGGCTGATTTATTTTTTCTTTATTGATTTTTAGAGAGAAACATTGATGAGAGAGAACATCGATTGGCCGCCTCCTGCGTGCCCCCCACTGGAGATTTGGCCCACAGCCTGGGCATGTGCCCTGACCGGGAATCGAATGGGACCTCTCAGTCCATGGGTTGACCCTCAACTACTGAGCCACACCAGCCAGGTTATTTTGACACATTTTTATTTAGAATATGTTGTATCATGCTCTAACCCTTTATTCTACTTCATTTCTTCATTTAACTTGTTTGATATTATGTTATACTATATGTTCCTTTATTTTGTCTGTTTAGAGTTGGTCTGTCCCTCTGTCACTTGGACGTAAGTTCCGTGGTGTGAGGGTGTGACCTCCCTCACTGTGACATCCCCAGCACTTAGAGCAATGCAAGTCGGGCCCCAGTAAACATTTACTGAATGCATGGATGATGTGCGTAACTTCCAGCAAGTCCTGATTGCCGTGAAGTTGTACACCCTCTAAGGAACTGGGTTATAACCTTGTCATAAAGACTCATAACCGAGTGTCCCTGAAACCATACAGAAACATTTGTGTATATGCACTTCGGGATTTTTCTAAGATTCTCTGGACGGCGTGCAAACTTCAAGGGAACAGAAGGTTCAAGCTACAGGGGGAAAAAAGAGGAGTGGGTATCAGCTACGCCAGAAAACATCTGGAATTGAGACATGAGGGGGAACCAGCCAAAGGGGCTGTTATGTAACCTGTTCTGAACTGTTTCCCAGTGACTTTCCTGCAGATTCGAGACCAGAACAGGAAACATCATCATGTTGGAGACACCAAAACAGAATTTAAATGCTCAGACAAGTTCCCTTCCTTTATCTGTCTTTGCTACATGCGTCTAAGCAACACTGAACATGGCTGACACACTGTGAAGCCCCAAACTCTCAACTCTCAGAGTCTTAAAAATTAGTTTACATGAACGTCTTCTCTGTTTTACGCCACACTGTAATTCACAAGTGTTTTCTGGGAATTCTGACTTTATGTCTTTAAAGGTTGAGATTTGTTTTGGCCAATATGCTACTGTAGGAGTCTTGGCAAATGTTGACAAGAAAAATGATTCATAAAATGTCCGTTTGAAAACAAATTTGCAATCCTCTACAAGCAATAAAAATGGGGGGGGGGGGGTCTGATTTGACACCGAGAAAACAAATTATCCATTCAAGTACTTTCTTTTTAAGTCAAATAAAAGCATCACCTCACCTCAGTCCCTACGCAAACTTACACATTTCCGACAAGAATCCAAACTTACATATCAGTTCATAAAACATGAGGAGGTTAACCCAGCGACAGCACACAGACTGTGGAGCTCTCATAGCTGAGTTCCCCGTGTGTAGCTCAGGAGAACATTCTGACCTGAGTCTCAGAATCGGATCGTGGGTCAAAGGTCTTTGAATGCCTATTTCATTCATCTTTTTACAACCTCAGTGTAGACACTGCGGGGCTCCATGGGTGTGGAATGAATGAATGAATGAATGAATGAATGAATGCCTATACCTCATGAGCTATTTTAATCAAAGACGGTTAAAGCTAATTCCCTCAATGGTTTTTCTTACTAAAACAAACCCTGTAAAACAGGACTGAGACTTGTGTGTGTGTTGACACTCTTTCCCGTCCTGGTGGATTGATACCATTTTAATTCCGTGAACAATCCCCACCTTTACATTGCTTCAGGGCACATGAAACCCTCGCTCGGAGAAGAACGCGGCCTGATGCATTCCAGGGTTATCCCATTCCCGTTGCCGACGGTTTCACTGGATCTGCTTCTGTTTACTGGCTTGCTGGTCCCCTTTCCCTTGGCATGGAACTTCACTGGATGTTGGGGCTAGTACAGAAGCCCCTCAGGTCAGCGTCAAAGAACAAAGACGCCTATGATTTGTCTTTGGTCTGTCTAATAGGTAGGGCAGCCTTCCTGCTGGGTTGATTCAACACTTCAACAGTATTATCAAGGGCCCGAACAGTTTGTATCTGTCCATCATGTCAACTTAGCAACACATCAAAGGTAGTAATAAATGCTGTATGCAAATGGGACAATTTCAAGCAGAGATCAGTGGCATTATCTGTATTCTTCACTCTCTGTGATTTTTTTTTTTTTATCCTCACCCGAGGATATTTTTCCATTTTTTGTACAGATAGAGTGGGAGGGAGAGAGAGAGAGAAACATCGACGTGAAGGGACACATCGAGTGGCTGCCACCCGCACGACCAACCAGGGACGGGGACAAACTGCAACTGAAGTACGAAGTACGTGCCCTTAGTGGGAACCGAACCCGGGTCTCTCCGGACCGCAGGCCGACGCTCTAACCGCTGAGCCAAACTGGCCAGTGCTCTCTTGATATTTTTAAATAAAATATTTGTTTAGGAACAAAAACGTATGATACCTACTAGGTACACACTTGGGTCTGCCTACAAGTCCATGAAAATGTCTGTTTTTAATGGAAGGCAGATCAAATTTTATAAAACAGTCTATTGAATTATTTATTTGTTCTATTTACACTTGGGAACTATTTTCCAGGAACAACATTTTTATTACTTAAAATAAATAATGGCTCTATCGTGCAAAAGTAGTCACCACTTGATAATAACTGCCACATAAAGAATCATGTGCTCGTGCATGACCTCACTATGTGCTGGAAGGGATTCACCTTTCCTGGTAGTGAGAAGAGATGTAAACTTCAGATCCATCACCTGTTGAAAGTGGCAGAAATCTCTGGGATGTGAGCGAGGACCCGAGTCCTCGTTCAGTAACCTCCTCTTGTCTTCCCACCAAAACACACAATGAAACAACGGTTCTCAAGACACTGTTTAAATGACAATCAGCACAAAAGAAAATACAGAGTTTTAGCCCTGGCCGGTTTGGCTCAGTGGTTAGAGCGTCGGCCTGCGGTCCAGAGAGACCCGGGTTTGGTTCCCGCTAAGGGCACGTACCTCGGTTGCAGTTTGTCCCTGGCCCTGGTTGGGTCGTGCGGGTGGCAACCACTCAATGTTTCCCTTTCACATCGATGTTTTTTTCTTTCTCTCCCTCCCACTCTGTCTAAACAAACAAAAAAAAGAAAATACAGAGTTTTAAAAAACGAATTTTCTCTGTTTCTCCCCTTTAGCGGAGATCACCGTGGATTCTGAGCAGTACACAGAGGCCTGGGGGCCCCGTGGCAGCGTGAGAACCGCTGACGTCGGGGGAAGTGGCCGGCTCCCAGCTGAAGGATGCCCCCTCCCCCACGCTGTATCACTCCTGGTCGCATCAAACGTGTGTTTACTGAGCACCGTGCGTTGTTGTGGCAGACTCCTCTTGCCTGCATTTCAGCACGGAAACATATGAAAAGTGAGCGACATGTTTGATTTCACCTAACAGTGTCATAGTCCATTTAAATGCACAGAAAGACACATGAACCTGGGTACAAATACATACACTGTTTTTTTGTTTTGTTTTGTTTTTCCACAAATCTGTTTCTACCCAAAACAAGGTATTTTTTTTTTCTGATATAATAAAAGACTTTCTCTCCCCCTTCTGTTTTCTCTCTCTCTTTCTCAAAAAATAAAAAATAAAAATCTCGCTCTGGCCAGTTTGGCTCAGCGGTTAGAGCGTCGGCCTGTGGTCCGGAGAGACCCGGGTTCGGTTCCCGCTAAGAGCACGTACCTCGGTTGCAGTTTGTCCCCGGCCCTGGATGGTCGTGCGGGTGGCAGCCACTTGATGTGTCCCTTCACGTCGATGTTTCTCTCTCTCTCTCCCTTCCTCTCTCTCTTCCTCTCTCTCCCTCCCACTCTATCTGTACAAAAAATGGAAAAAATATCCTCGGGTGAGGATAAAAAAAAATAAAATAAAATAAAAATCTCATTTTACAAAACGCAGAACTGGAGATTAGGGGGCATGAGAAGAAAGCAGACCAAGAACACCACGCATTCAAAGGGTGCTGTTGGAAAAAATGTCTGGTATAAAGAAATGGAGAATGCCGCAGGGATCCATCGGACAATTTAGCTTTTACCTTTCTAAAGCACAAAAGGAATCAGAGTGGGGACAGCAGCAAGTCATCCTGAGAAACTGAACCACAGGCAAAATCACCATCAGCATCCACAACATCGGTTCCCTTTTAGATAAACATTTTAGAGAGAATGTACACAGGCTTTTAGGTGGAATTGGTTTATTTGTTAGTTTTTCGTTGTGAAAACGTCTTTGAGGAAAAAGTTTAGTTAACAAAACTTTTCACAGATTTCACTTGGCAAATCACACCCAGAAGAACGCTGTAGGTCAAGCCCTCCCAGTGTGGGTAGAGGGGCTCAGTTTTCAAAACCAGCTTTTAGAAAGCTGAACGCAACCGGGAAGATTTGAAATGAAAACAGACTGCAAGGCACAGGCAGGAGACATGGTCTGTGAACCAGGGGCCTAGCACCTTGGGGTTCCCCCAAATCACATCTCCCCAGTGGTGTTACAGATCCGCCTTTGACGAACTCAAACCCACTGCCCGAGGTCAGATAACAGAACCTCCCGAGGTGCACTGCCAACACATGGAGAGAACCTGGAAACAGTTTCCGTTTACTGAGTCCCCGGGCCACCAGAAAATGTGCACGAGGACACACGGAAGAGGTAACTTTTTAATCCAGATTTCACAAACTGTTGATGCAGAGGGGTCCCCACGGCCTCTCCCGGAGTAAGAGCTGCCTACCGGCGGCCCGTGAAAACGCATCACAACGCGCGTGCTCTACAAAACTAGTCGTACCCCGCCGCGCTGCCCTGGCCGCTGTACCCCGCCGCGAAGCAGCCCCCGACGGGCGGGCTCTGGAGGCCGGCGCAGGTGGGCGGGGCGGGCACCCCCGGGCCTTGCAGCACCTGGCTGCCGTGCGCCCCGTCGCTGGCCGCCGCCGTGGAATTCAGGAAGAGCTCGATGTACCTGTGCCGCATGTTGGCCCTGTCTTTGCACATCGCGGCGGCCGCTTCTTCGTGGGTGGCGAACTCCACGTCCGCCTCGCCGGTCACTCGGCCATCGGGGCCGACCTCAATGTGGACCCTCACGGGGCTGAGGGGAGAGAAGAAGCTGTAAATGTCGTTCTCCGTGGCTTTGTACGGCAGCCCCCGCAGGTGCACGCAGTGGCCCGTGGTCCCCGGGGCCGCCAGCGCGCCATCTCCGTACCTGGGGTCGTACACCCCCGAGAGGCAGTAACTCAGGTCTCTGCCCAGCAGGGCCGCGCTCAAGCCGTAGCCGTCGCTGAGGCCGCTGTGCTCCTCGTAGGCCCCGTAGCCCGCGCCGGGCCTCATCCTCTCCAAGCCCACCTGCTTGAGGACGCCAAGGTACCTCCTGGCTGCGCCCGGGCGGTCGTAGGGCCCCGGCCGCGGGACGGACAGGAACCGCAGAGCGGGGTCCGAGTACGTCCTGACTTCCTCCTGGCTGCTCTTGAACACCTCGATGTACCTGTGCCCGATCCTCTCCTTGTGCTTCCCCAGGGCCTTCTCCGCCCACTCCTGGGACGCAAACTGCACGAAGGCCTCCCCGGTGAGCTTGCCCTCCGCGTCCACAGGCAGCGTGATCCCGTTGGGCACGATCTCCAACCCCGAGAAGAACTGCACGACCTCCTCCGTGGTGCAGCCGAACGGGAGGCCTCGCAGCCGCACGAAGCCGTCCTGGGCCGCGTCGCCGCTGCTCGGGCCGCTGCGCTTCAACCCCCAGTCCATCTCGGCTCGGTGGGACCTGAACACCTCGATGTACCGGTGACCCATGCTCTCCCTGTCTTTCTTCAGGGCCAGTTTCACGTCCTCTTCTGACTCGAGTTCGACGAAAGCCTCGCCGCTCTGCCTGCCTTCCCTGGTGTAGATGAAATGGATGCCGGCCGCCCCGTCGCGGGTGACGCAGCCGCAGAGGAAATTCTGCACGTCGGCGGCCGAGCAGGACCAGGGCAGCCCGCGGAGCTTGACCACGGAGCCCTCGCCTCCCCCGGGGCCCAGCATCACCGACACCTGACAGCGCAGCCTTCCCACCAGCTCAGCGGCCGCTTTTCGTGGCTTCAAGGACAAGGGGGCGGGAGACACTTCTGGTGGGTGCGAACTGTCCGCGCTGGGGAGCAGGGCGGGGTTCTGTTTTCATCAAGCCAAAGGACCCCGACTCCTCTGGACGCTTCGAAAGGCCGGGAGACTCGGGTGCAGCTCCTTCTGTTATTAACCCCGCCGGGCCTGGGGTCCCACGTCCTGAAAGTCGGCGCGCGGGGCTGCGTCCATCCGGGAGGCCAGCCCGAGCCTGGGAGGGCGCACAGGGGACAGCGCCACCGAGATGTCGCCAATGGAAACGCACCCTGGGACCTGAGGCGGGAGCCTGGGGCGCCCCTCCAAGACCTGGGGGAGGGTGGAACACAGGGGACCTGGCCGTTGTGGTCCAGGCGGTTGGGCGTGTTTACCATCACCATGGAAACCCCGGCAGCGCGCCTGCGCTCCATCCTGCGCCTGTTGTGCGCACGCAGCCCTGCTGGGCCCTGCGCCCCAACACCAGGAGAACAGCCCGAGAACCACGCCCCCACCCCACTAGCAATGAACAAGTGGAATGTAAAATTAAAAACACAGTATTATTTAAATCAACCCCAAAATACTAAATACATAGGTATAAGTCTAACAAAATATGTAGAAAAGCTATATGAATAAAACTACAAAATTGTGATTAATGAAATTAAAGAACCAAATGCGGAGAGATATTCCATGGTCATGTTTAGGAAAACAATATTGGCAAAATGTCAATTTGTTTCTAACCCAATCTATAGATTCAATGACGATGATAGATTTTAATCCCAATCTTAAAAAATCCAGCAAGTTTGTGGACATCAATAAACGGATACTAAAATTTCTATGAAGAGGCAAGATACTTGCTCCCTCCCATGACCATTTCCAAATTACAGCCAAACTACAAAATACCCATCACTGAGCACATCCTGAAGTCTAGCTGAACAGAAGTCCTATAACTAAGGATACACAGAAGCAGCTACATTGAGGCTATGAGGGGTGGGATGCAGACTGGACTGGTCAGGAGAGAGCCTGGCCTTGTAGCTCTGTGAATTGAGCATCACCCCGAGGTCTCAGTTTGATTCCCAGTTGGGGCACATGCCCAGGTTGCAGGTTTGATACCCAGTAGGGGGCGTGCAGGAGGCAGCTGATCAATGTATCTCTCTCACATCAATGTTTCTATCTCTCTAAAAAATCAATAAAAACATATTTTTTTTTAAAAATCAGGGGGATCTCTCAGGGGCAGAGATCCCCTTGAGAAGCAAGAGGGCCTCACAAATTTTGGGTTGGAAAACCAGCCAAGAGCATGGCTGAGTGAGACGGGGGCTCTGGAGTCCCAGACATTCCTCTTAAAGGGCCCACGCACAGGCTTATCTGAACTCACTCGCTCTGAGCTCCCGCACTGAGGCAGCAGCTACGAAGGTGCCAAGGACACACGGGGAGGAACTACATGGTCTGGCTTTAGGGGGAGCGCTGAAGGATTAGCTTTCTTCAAAACAGACGTGTAGACACAAGCCGCTGTTCCTTTGCTGAGCCTCCCCTCGCCCCCGCAGGCACAGGCGGGAGCCATTTCTGAGTCTCCATCAAGCTGTTTAACACCTTTCCCCCCACCCGAGTGATGCCCTGAGTCCCCACCTGACCCAACTCGCTGGCCCACCCAAGCCACTTCAGTGGCTTTTCCATTCAAACACACTGTCTTGGTTCATGTGGTGGACTCTCTTAAAATCTCTCAAAGTTTCACAAACCCCGGACAAACAGCCTGTGGCCTCAGCACACCCCATACCTCTTGCTAAGCAGCCCCAACTCCAGCACTAGTGGCATCTGCCTCAGTTCACAGCTGAGCCCCTCCCGGGCACCTCCAATCCTGGGACAAGTGGAACCATCTGCAGATCACTATGTGACACATACCCGGTGGTTTCAAGCAGGGCATGCGCAGCCGCTAACCTTGGCTTGCAGCTCTCAAGAGGCCCAGGACCAACATACTCGGTGGCCACGCCAGAGCACCACCCAGCCCCCTCCACAAATGACACCCTCAAAGAGCAGACTTGGCAGGCTCTGAGCTCTGCAAAAGCAAATCCTGCTGTGTAGGGTCAGACCCCCAACATTTAGACACAGCCGGTCCTTACAACCAATCAGCTGGAGGGTCAATCCCTCCAAACAGAAATCAAGGCTCAACTACAACAAGGGGGCACATACAACCGACACAAGGGACACACCTGGAGCACCCCACTCAGGTGACCTGGCAGAATGCACTATTGGGTTCCACCTGACACCTACCAAGACCAGGAGTCATAACAGCTCTATCTAATACATAGAAGCAACACAAGGAGGCAGCCAACATGGAGAGACAAAGAAACAGGTCCCAAATGAAAAAGAACATGAGAAATCTCCAGAAAAAGAACTAAATAAAATGGAGGCAAACAATCTTCCTGATACAGAATTCAAAACAATCATAGTAAGATGTTCAAGAAACTTATTGAGAACTTCAACAGCATGAAAATGACATAAAAACCATATAAAAGAAACGCAAAAATGAAGACTAGATTAGATAAAGCAGAGGGTCAGATCAGCAATTTAGAAGATAAGGTAGCAGAAAACACCCAATCAGAACAGCAAAAGAAAAAAGAATAAAAAAAAAATGATAGTTTAAGGGCCTCTGGGACAACATCAAGCATAACAACATTCGCATCATAAGAGTACCAGATGGAGGAGAGAGAGCAAGAAATTGAAAACATATTTGAAGCAGTAATGACAGAAACATCCCCTAACTTGGTGAAAGAAACAGACATACAAGCCCAGGAAGCAGGAGTATCCCAAACAAGATGAACCCAAAGGGGCCCACACCAAGACACACCATAATTAAAATGCCAAAGGTTAAAAACAAAGAAACAATGTTAAAAGCAGCAAGAGAAAAGCAATTAAGTTACCTACTAGGGAGATCCCATAAAGCTGTCAGCTGATTTCTCAACAAAACTTTTCAGGTCAGAAGCATTTGCATGAAATATTCAAAGTGACGAAATGCAAGAACCTACAACCAAGATTACTCTGTCCTGCAAAGCTATCATTTAGCATTGAAGGACATACACAGAGCTTCCCAGACAAGAAAAAGCTAAAGGAGTTCATCACCACCAAACCAGAATTAGAAGAAACGTGAAAGGGGTTTTATTAAGAGGAAGGAGAAAAAATAAAAGATAAAAAATATGAATAATAAGATGGCAATAACTACATAGCTAGCAATACTTACTATAAATGTAAGTGGATTAAATGCTCCAATCAAAAGATACATGGTGACTGAGTGGATAACCAAACAAGACCTACACTGTCTACAAGACTCACTTCAGACTGAAAAACACGCAAAGACTGAAAGTAAAGGGATGAAAAAAATACCTCACGAAAATGCAAACAAGCAAGAAGCTGGGGTGGTAATACTGATACCAGACAAAATAGACTTTTAAACAAAGGCTTTAACAAGAGACAAAGAAGGACCCAGCAATTCCACTTCTGGGTATTATCTAGAGAAACCCCAAACACTGGAACGGTATTAAACTCTAAGCCACGGTGAAAGAGAACATGCCTTCTTATCTTTATTGATTTTATTGTATTTTTTATTTTTATCTATTTATTTGTTTGTTTATTTATTTGTTTGTTTGTTTTTTCACCCGATGAGTTTGGAAGTCTTCAGTTCTTCTATATTTGTTTTGTTGCTGTTGTTTTTGTTTTTTTAGCTTTTTAAAAAATTGTTGAAAGTATTACAGATGTGCCCTGTTTTTCCCCTTTGACCTCCTCCTTTATTGTATTCTTTAATATGTTTTCTTATTGATTTTAGAGAGAAGAAGGGAGAGGGAGAGAGAAATATTGATGTGAGAGAGAAACATCAATTGATTGCTTCCTGGACACAGCCCAACAGGGGATCAAACCCACAACCCGGGCATGGGCCCTGACCAGGAATTGAACCAGTGACCTTTCTGTGCAGGGGGCGATGCCCAACCAACTGAGCCACACCCGCCAGGGAAACATGGCTTCTTTTCAAACAAACATGGGGCACGTGTGACAATTGCCTGTGCATGAGTTCACAACAAATCTTCAATCAAGATCTAAAAGCAGATGGTAATTCTGTGATCATTTGAAAACATACTCACAGCCCTGGCCAGTTTGGCTCAGCGGTAGAGCATCGGCCTGTGGACCAATGAGTCTCGGGTTCGATTCCGGCCAAGCGCACATACCTCGGTTGCAGTTCGTTCCCGGCCCTGGCCAGGGTCGTGTGGGTGGCAACCAGTTGATGTGTCCCTCTCACGTCGATGTTTCTCTCTCTCTCTCCCTCCCTCTCTCTCTACCTGAAGATAAATGGAAAAATATCCCTGGGTGAGGATGTAAAAAAAAAAAAAAAAGGAAAACATACTCACAAATTCTCTCATATTTCTAACATCCAAAGAGGGTGTCTATAGTCCCTACCCTGAAACCAGGCAGGTTTTTCTGACTGCAGTGGCTATCACGAGCCCTTTAGGAACAGCATGTGTCTCTTCGTGATAAAGCACTGCAATGTCCTAATAAGAAACGGTGAGACGGAATGTCTGCTAGCACCGAGCACCACTCTGCCCTATGGCGCTCGTCTCTGCTATCCGGGCTGGACGCCCGAGATCTACATTTCCCGTAGCCCCTCCCATCCGAGTCCTGGCCCAGATTCCAGGTGAAGGGCACGCGTGACATTCCTAAGAGGTGGGAAAGATACAATGTATCCTTGCACAGAAGTGCGGAGGCTGGCTAGCAGCATGGCTTGCTGAGGCTGTTCCCGGGGGTACCCTCCTCTCGGTTTTCATTCGGGGGCCTGGAGGTAGCACCTCCTGTATTTCCCTGCAGTCCCCCAAGTCCCTGCGTTAAATTCCTTCCTGCCCAAACTACTTAAAGTATTTTGTTTTCATGACAAAATCCTAACAAACATACTTGGGAACAACCATGGGGTGTCCTTCACCCAGCAAAGGGAGCTTGAGTAGCTCCTTCTTGCAGAACTGTTAAAGACAGAACAGTGTCTGGGACCCGAGCCTGCTGGGACACACTTGCGATGCCGACACCAGCACTGGGGGGAAAGGAGGCATTGGTCTAACTCCTCCCCTCTCTTCAGGCTCTGGAACCAAAGGGAGGGGAATGTTCTCGGCAAACACCGCCAGCGTGTGGGCGCTGCTCATCACACACAGGAGGGAGCGTGGTTTCCTAGAGAGTCGGATTTGCTGAGAGCCTTCCCTGGGGAGATACGGCAGAACCATGGCTCAGGCGTTTTAGGTCCCCTCCCCAAACACTTTCCAGGAGTGGCCCACACCCCACTTACAGCCCTAACAGAGGATTTTAATGTCGGTCCTTTAGCTCTGAGAGAACTGAGCTCATTGTTTTGTTGTCATAACAGAAGGATGGTGCCTGGGAAGGGGGGGTGGGCCCATGTGTTTCCAAA